AGAAATGTGTAGTAGCAAAATAAGAAAATAATTATTCATTTTTAAAGGAAACTACACAACTAATTTGTTAACTTTTTGTATTTAAAAAAAATTATAAACAATTGAAGATTCTTAGGTTTGCATGGAGGGATATGTTCAGAAATTGTTCTCCTTTTATTTAAAACAAAGAACACTCGAATCGATTAAAAATTTTAGTCTGTACACGGAGAGAAATCTGTTGCTATTATTGCTTGCAGAATCTTTACAAATTTTATTAGTCACTGCTGAATAGAATTTTAGCTTGAGGTTATAATAGTTTATATACGAAATCATCTATTTAATGTAACGGAGAGTTCGATGTAATAAAAACAAAAAGCAGCTGCTAATTTTGCACGAAATCTTTATTATAAATATAAAGAGAACGTGCTATAAAAGTATTAGATTCTTCTTATAAGAATCGCTCGAACTCCGACTGATTTTCAGGCGGACTTTATACAACACAATCTTACCTGCGTATACGCACATATAACTCACACACACATATATTTCTCTGGATGGTTTCGAGGAACGGAACGCGTACAAAGCGGTGACGTTTGCAATAACATAACCTAACAATTTTCACATGTTGCTTATATATTCAAACACGAATAAAAATGCAATAATTTTTAAATAATATACTTACTATTAAATAAATATTATCTTTTTATAACAGCAACAAGTATTAAATACTACATATAATATATAATGTTTTACAGGACAGAGAAATATCAAATATAGAGAAAGAGAGGAATATATGTGTGTGTGCGTTATATGTGCGTATACACAGGTAAGATTGTGTTGTATAAAGTCCGCCTGAAAATCAGTCGGAGTTCGAGCGATTCTTATAAGAAGAATCTAATACTTTTATAGCACGTTCTCTTTGTATTTATAATAAAGATTTCGTGCAAAATTAGCTACTGTCTCTTATGCTTATTGCATTGAAAGTATTTTTACAATAAGTATATGAATCCATGCTAAAAATATAAGAGAAACGTTAAGCAATTTAAGTAATGTGCTCTTTCGAGTAATATTAGCAGCAGATTTCTCTCCGTGTAGACATTTTTTGAGAAGTAAATTGTAAAAAATTCCATTGTGAGGCGTTTCGTAGAACACGAGCACCTTGCACGTGATTTTTGAAAATTTTGTACAACTCATTAAACGCGTCGGCCCACTCCAAAACTTTTTGGAGAATCTTCTGTATATTATAAGGTATAAATAAATTTTAAAAAAATAAAAAAGAAAAGGGTCCAAAGTTAAAAAAAATTAATTTGTTTAAAAAAAAATTTTTTTTTAATAAAAAATTAAAAAAAAATTTTTTTTTACATTTCTTAAAAGTTGAAAGAAAACTAAAACTTTCATTCCCTGAAAAGTTTTTGCTAAACTCAATATTTTCAGACTTATAAGCTACTGAAAATATGTCTACAGTTACAAATCCAAAATTTCGAAAATTCATAACTCGAAAATTTGGGCGATTAAACAAAAATAAAAAAACACGTATTTCTTTTTTTTCCATATAGAATGAGAAAAAAATATGTTTAACCGAATTTTCAAGGTCATAGGTAAATCTTGCGTGGAATTGCCCATATATTTCTTACATTTCACAATTTTTCATTCTATATTTTCCAGTTAGATTATTATATTTTCTATTAAATTATCTTTAAAATTTCCTTTTATAAGGGGAGACCCCACCTTTATTTTGACCCCTTTAAAATAAAATTATTAAACGAGGTAATATTTTTTTTCTTGCATCATTTTTAACCTGAAAACATATAAGATGGTCAAAAATACTTAATTATAATTTTTGAAGAGGTTAGAATTTTTTCAGTTGACCTATTGCATATTATTGCAAATCCATGCGAGAAGTTGTTTAAAATGGTAAAATATGCATGGGAAAAAATTTTCGTTGAAAAATATATTAAAAACTGTAAGTGAAGATCGATTTTTAATATTCAAATCTTTAAATTTTGCCGGAATGTCGGAAGCCCTCAACCTTTAATTTTTTCCAATTTGATGCTCTGAGTCGAAAAACATAGATAAAATTGACAATTAGCTCATTTTCATGGTAAAAACTATAAAAATCATGGCTTTTTGCATTTATTTCGGTATATATAAAGTATACCATGAAAGCTTCGGACTATGATTTTTATTGTTTTTTACCACAAAAATGAGTTAAATGTCAATTTTAACAATGTTTTTTGAATAATAGCATCAAATTACGTAAGTACCTATACACAGTTTGGAAAAAAATTGAAGATTTAAGGCTTTCGAAATTTCGGCAAAAGTTAAAGATTTGAATATTAAAAATTGATCTTCTCTTACACTTTTTAATATTTTTCAACAAAATTTTTTTTCCATGCATATTTTACTATTCTAAACAACTTCTCGCAAGGATTTGCAATCAATAGGTCAAAAGAAAAAAATTCTAACCTCTTCAAAAATTAAAATTAAATATTTTTGACCACCATATGTTTTCAGGTTAAAAATGATGCAAGAAAAAAAATATTACTTCGCTTAATAATTTTATTTTAAAGGGGTCAAAATAAAGGTAAGGTCTCCCCTTAAGTTAACATATAACTAACATTAATTTGTTCAAACAAAAAATTAAAGAGATTAGTATTTTCTCAAATAAAACTTTGACTTAAAATAAAATCACATATTCAAACTGATATTTTCAAAAAGACCGTTTCGTTAAACTCACTTTTAACGTGAAAAAGTAAAATCTTTTAGGACATTATTTTTCGCTTTTTTAGTAAAGCATTTACCGGAAAATCACATGTTGTTGTTGTTGTCAAGTAGATCCTCTAAATTTTCAGAGTTGATAACTGGAACTAAAGTATCAAATTAAAATATAAATTAATCAAATATATGGGAAATCGATAAGAAAATGTGTTACAAGGATTTATATTTCTTAAAAGTTCTTTTAAAAATAGAAAGAATCGGTATTACATATGCAATAAGGGTAGAAGATTTGGTCTGCTAGCTAATTACTATAACGAACTTAATGACACCTACTAGACGGACTTGTTCTAATTTCTTATGTCGGTAAGCTAGACAGTATCACAATAAATACTAGAGTCTCCATATCAAGAGAAATGCCCATGTAGAAAAATTTCGGGGCAGTCTGGAGTCCAGTGATTGCCCCAACTAGACGCATCTGGACGGTCTAACTGTATTCTATATAGGATTTATCTGGACGGTCTAATCTAGACTATCTTTCTCTATGCTGTATGGGACTTCATTGGCATCACTAGCATTCAAAATTTTTTAAGTACAATCAAGACTTTAGTGCCCGATTTGTCGGTCTTCTTTGAATTTATACATGCGCAATAGGTTGTCACTTCAAATTGCATGGAATAATTTAGTCAATCATCTAAAGAATCGTTCAAAAATAAATATTGTAGGTTTATATGAATTATTTTAAATAAAAATAAAATTTAAATCTATACATTATAAATTATTTAATTTCAAAATTGAATTTTATTAGAGTTACGTTTACAATTTTCATAAACCCGTGTAGCAATGTTAATTCGGGCATTATAAGGTTCGGAAAAGGTTTCCTTATTATTGTTAGGGTCCCTGTAGGGATAACCTATGCGTACCCTATACTATTTGTCCCGCAGTAGCCTATCCGGGCCCTATTAAGGGTCCGAATCCGGAAAACCTATTTTCGCCCTAAATATTTATAAGGCCCTGAATGGGACCATATTAGGGCCCTTTTAATTTTTTTAAGAAAATAGGTTTATAAATTAAAATCTAGGCTTAGAAATAAAACGAAATAATTAAATATTAAATAGAATTTTATTTATTCTTTTCACATCATATGTTATCTTTCGTAAAGTCTTATAAAAGTATTTTTTAAATTTATAACAAAATTTTACAAACATTTTCTCTAAGGACTAAAGTCTTTTTTTTATAACATAAATATTAAATTATTTATAAAACTCAAATCTTTTTTAAACTATAATAAAATATTTCTTAAATCTTTATAAGTCTTGTTTTTTGTAATAAACTTTTATAAATTTGAGGCGCAAGGATATTGTCTGAAACTCATTTACCAGAATTTCCAAGAGTTCGCATTTTATTAGGCAGAATTTAATTATAACTAAATTTCCAATTCAAAGAAAAAGTATTAAGTAGAAAACTTATATGAGCGAATTTCTATTTAAAGGAATTTACATTTGAATGAATTTAGTTTATCAAAATACTGTTTAGCATAATTTACATTCGTTAGAATTTTAAAATGTTAAACCAGATATTTTGATAATTTCAAATTTTTTAAATACAATTTATATTAAATTAAAATTTGTATTAATAAAAATTCGAAACAATAATAATTCGTTCAAATGTGAATTCTGATAAATACTAATTCTTTGAATTGAATATTCGGTTAAAGTAAAATTCTATCTAATAAAATTCAAACTTTTGGGAAATCTGTTAAATGAGTTTTAGGCAATAGTCATGCGTCTCATATTTTTTTTAAACTAAAATCTTTTGTAATTACATACATAAAACTTTTTTTATATTTATTGTTTTGTAATATTTTTTTAATTACGTTATATAACAATTTTTTATACTTCGCCATTTTCATCCGATGTGCTTGAATTATCTGTTTGGCATTCATTTCCAGGTTTCGGTTTTTGTAATGCCCTTTTCTGACGCTCCCCGTCCCAATCTTTAGCATTATTAATAACTTTGGACATTGCATTACTAAAGTCATGCTCCGTAATAGCTTTTCCAGTGAGAATGTTCTTGTGTGTTTGAACCATAAGATCTGCAAATTATTTAACTTATAAAAGCCGATAGTGTAAAAAAATAAAAATTATGTTCTTATCGTTATATTATTATAATTATTTTTTGATTATATTATTTTACATTTTCAACATACTTTGAATACAATTGTAGAATGTTGTGTCTTTAAACAAAGATTTTCCTTTTTTTTCCTGACAACAGTAAAGTTTGTAATCTTCTCCCTCGATAAATATTTTCGATAAACGGTCGTACAACTTTTCCCTAAATTAAGTTCACGATCCAAGAAAACGTTCAAGGAAGAAATCTGCAAACAGTTCAGAAAAATCCAACATTATTCACTTAAATAATACAATTTTTATATATTATTAAATGAAATTTACGAATTCTTTTTGTATATCGTTATTATCAGCACTTAATGTTATATCAAATGTGTTGAAATCTTCAACATTTTGAAATGGTAGTACTAAATTATTCTTTGAAATAAAATTTTGATCTACAAAAATGTCGTTTGCACGAAAGTTTTGAATAATCATTTGTTGATTAGCTTTAACTTCTCGAATATCAACAGCTAATCCCGTTAACATGGTTATAATATGTGTCAAATCTATAAAAATGTAGTCTTTGTAAATATAGATCGTCAAAATAGAAATTATGCATGCAAAATTTCTAATATGTATAAATATAGTTACCATTTTTACGAGCATTATGACTTTCTCTTCTATTGACTTTATCATTTTTAGAATCTATTAATCTATTAATCTATTAATATCCACTTAACTTTGTATAGTATGTTTAATTTTATCAACAGCAGAACTAGAAGTTGGATTCGGATGAGTGGTTGATTTATTCTTAACAGTTGAAATGGTATTACCTAATAATAAAATTTAGAATTTATTTTAGAAATTTTTAGAAATTATATTTATGACAGATTTGAAGACTGAATGAAAAATAAGAATTACCTGAAACCACAGATGAATGTTTGCTAGATTTGATGTTTCTCTTTGCCGATGATGTAGTAGCTCCTTTAATTTTGGATTTAACTTTAGGATTCTGTAACATATTCTTTTTGCGGTTTGCAGAAATGGACGCATCGTCTGAACTACTGTTATCTTGCTCATCAGTACTCTGTTCAAGCTGATCATATTCTGGGTCTGATTCAATACCCGACACTTTCATTACTTTAGCAGTTGCTTGACTCAGTGTGAGATTATTTCTTCTATATTTATTTTCAATGGATTTTGCCTTAATATCCTGGCCCTCATTTTCTGTGAAAGCATAATCCTTATTCTCTAGGACTTTTAATCGTTTTACAGCGTCACTATAAGTCTCTAAACAGAAAGAAATTATGATTTTTATTCTTAATCTAAATTTACCAGTCGAAAGCTTGTCGAATTCCGCATCGAACGAGATGAAAGACTTTAGAATAATGGACGATAAATAAATAATTATTAATTATTTATTTAACATCCATTTATAGAAAACCCTTCATATTGAGATTGTTGGATGCAGAATTCAATAAGATTAGTTATTTATAATTATGGTTAGTTTATCTTTATTCTAAAATATTTCATTTTTAATTATTTTCATAAATTAATTAATGATTCAAAAGCAAATAAAGATGTCATTTTTTTCTTAAAATAGGATCTTGCAAAACAAAAAAATAATTATGTAATTGCAATATTTTTAACGATAAATAAGGTCTTGTAGTTCAAAAAAATAATCATGACATTCTAATATTTACAAAGAAAGGTTACTTATTGGCATGTCCTCTAATTTTCACTGGATATGTCGGCCAACCTTCTGGTGCTAAGGCTTCACTTTCGATAAGAGAGTATAAAAGATTGATGTTCTCTTCGTCGTAAGGAGGGGGCATGAATCCAGTGATCGCTGTTTTTTAGGTTTCGAGCCATGAGATGCAATAAATTCCACTAATTGAAAATTATAAATTTCTCCATCTTGTAATTCCGACTGCTCAAACGGTGCCATAATTAGGATTCACTAAATTAAATGAAGTAAAAAATTACTACAAGCTAAGAATTAAACCAAGATGAAGTCCACAACGTTTATCAACAAAAATAGTTTTCTAATAAGTGTTAACTAATAGAGAAAAAAGGATAATGCAACAATACTGCCATAAAAAATTATTAAAAAGGGAGAGTTTTATTTATATTTTAATAATAATTGTATATTTTACAAAAATATAATATCCGAATAAATTAAAAAACCGTTTAAGTTGATCAACGTTGTAGACTACAACTTCGTAGAATTAAACACCTGTTTCTAAATGTATAAACACAAGATAATCTGGTAATTTTTAATTCAGAAAAAATCTTTTTCACTATACAATTTTCATTGTATTTTCCGTTACAGTTTAATAAAATGTCTGTACAATTGGCATATTTTGATTATTCTTACATGCATTTTATTATTGAAAAGAAAATTTTTTAACATAACCTCAAAAACTTCAAATGCTCTTGCGAAAAAGTATACGACAAATAATATCTCTACCGAATTAATTACCTTATATTCTTGAATATAAGGTAATTTTTATTCTTCTTAAGAACCCAGGTGCGATTTTTTGGTCGGCCCATAGTTGGGCCAACTTTTACAAAGTCGGTCCAACTTCTCGTGCCAGAGGTTGGGCCAACCATACAGATGATAACGGCGACCGTCTAATGGCGACGATGGTTGGCCCGACAACTCATAAGGAAGTTGGCCCAACTTACAATGCATATGTTGTGCCAACTATACATTTCAATGGTTGGTCCAAAGACTGACGCCAAAGTTGGCACAACTTTAGATGCGTAAGTTGGGCCAACCACAATTTTCAAAGTTTGGCCAACTTCAACAGCCAAAGGTAAAAAATTATTAAAAAACTACATTATTTAAACAATTAACACGTTATTATTAGCGGGAACATCAGATATAACCTTTACCTATTATTATTAAACACAATCTCATACATACATTTTCGAAAATATCTATCGCTCGCTGGGATCGAACCCCTAACCTAACGCACCGAAGACTTATACACTGACCACTACGCTACGCTCACATGGGAGTGCATAACGCAAAATGTATATTTAAGCTGCAACAGTCGGGCCAACCGTGGCCCAGAGTTCGGCCAACCAAGAAAGTTTAAGTCATTTAAACCGCATTTGACAAAGTTTTGCCAACCGTTGGGCCAACCGTGGCCCAGAGTTCGGCCAACCAAGAAAGTTTAAGTCAATGAAACTGCGTTTCTAGAGTTTTGGCAACCGTTGGGCCAACCGTGGCCCAGAGTTCGGCCAACCAAGAAAGTTTAAGTCAATTAAACTGCGTTTCACATAGTTTTGCCAACCGTCGGGCCAACCGTGGCCCAGAGTTCGGCCAACCAAAATAATGTAAGTCAATTAAACTGTGTTTCACATAGTTTTGCCAACCGTTGGGCCAACCGTGGCCCAGAGTTCGGCCAACCGAAACTGAAAGTCTTTTAAACTACGTTTGGATAAGTTGTGCCAACCTTTGTCGCCAAAGTTGGCCCGACGGTTGGTTAAACTCTGCATTTTATGGTTGGCTTGCAAAGTCGGGCCAACTGTGGGCACAAGTACTTGCCAAAGTTGGGCAAACTCTGGCAACCAAAACTTTGCTTGCCAAAGTTAGGCCAACCTTGGGCCAACCTTCAAACTCTGGCGGCCAACCTAAATTCGCACCTGGGAACTTGTAAAGCAGAGAATATAAAAAGTCTCTTTTTGTTAACGTACAAAGCATGCCAAGCACGTGGCAAAACTAGCAATTCATCATTACATTACGCAACTTCCAAATATTCACGTGACCACTATGCCACTATTTTTAAATCATAATATGAAATCAATAGTAATTTTAGAAAAATATTTCTATATTATATAGAATTTGTCATAATATAAATCTAAAAACTTTTGAGAAAGTTACATCTAAGTAGTCGTAGTTAATAAAAAAACAATTATTTTTGAGTACAAAATTGAGTTGACTCACGTGATATAACTTTCAATTTTGAACTGTTGAAACTTACTTAATATAATTTATCTTAAATAAGATTATGCATAAATTTTAACCACAACAAACTATGAATTACATTTTTAGTAATATTAATGTAAAAGTGGAACGACATATTTTTCAATCGGATAATTTTCTTTTAAATTAATACATAATTTAACTAATTTGCAATCCACATTCTCTAAATTATACGTTCTTTCAATTTTAGTGCATTCGGGCTTTAACTGCCACATTTTTAAATATTTAGAATCAAATGGATAATTGAAAATAGAATTTTTCTTATTTAAGACTTCTCCTTGTAAAGTGAACTGATTTTTATCATCTTTAGTAATTGTTTTTACATCGAGAATAGAGTCGTCGTTTATTAACACAGTGTTATTAGGAGATTCGCATGAGATTGTATATTGTTTAAATTTGATAGATGTTATTTGGTTTTGCTTTTGGTTTATAATTTTAATCAAAGTAGGAACTATTGCCTTTTTTCGAGAAAGGACCTTTCGTTCATGGAGTCGTCTACACAACTGTGACAACGGTCTGTTAGGTGTTTTTATATATTTTTTCAATTTTCCTAAGAAGTTTTCATAGGGAAAAGCAGTGATTTTACTAAGACAGCAACCCACATTTCGCACATCGTCAGCTAAGTGTATTAAGTGGTGCGAATTTAAAACTTGGGACTTAATTCCATAGTATCCTTCCATTACTATAAAAAATGCTTTTAAATACTCTTTTGCTTTATTGTTGTATTTGTGGCAAAACTTTTCACAACACAATATACGGCAAGCTACGTGAAACAGAAGAAAGTGTTTATAAATCGGTTTTCTGAGAATTTTCTTCAAAACTATGGGACCGCAATATAGTAAAAAAAAAACGGAATTTCGTAGCTTTCCATTTTAAAATACTATTTGTTGAGCGAGTTTTCCTTTGAAACTCGCAAGGTATTTGTAGCTTTAAGAGATTCATTCTTCTTGACAATTCTAGTCGGTCGAGTCTCCTTAATTTATTACGACCCTTTATAATCAATGCTTCGAGTAATCGTTTCATCACACCTAAACAGCACAGGTGCATAAAGTCTAAAATGAAGCAGCTAACGATGTTAATGAAAGGAAATATGTTAAGTAAAGAAGTTTCACTGTTGTAATGGCCAGCTTGAGTTCTTTCCCTGAAAGATTGGTTAGTTCTCTCATTTTCAGTTACTGATGGATAAACAGTTGTTCTGTCTACTTTGAATCCCGTAACTTCACATCTTTCACAAGCATTGAATGCCGTATGACCGGCAGTACACTTCAAAAATGCTCGGGCTGGTGTGTCACAAATAAAACACTTAATTTTAACATCGAAGTGTTGATCTTCTACATCAATTCCATTTTGTAAAAGGTTATTTATCTCATTTATGAATTCTTCGGTATATTTCTCTACACACTTTGGCTTTGTTTTACCAAAATAAACCGCAACGGCAAATGGTTCATAGATATCCTGGTCAGAATGTATTTTACAGTTAATAGGCCAAAGTTCCTGGTAACCTGAGTCGACCAATCGTAATCCATCACAAGAAATTTGTAATTCTATTAGTTTATTTTTATGAACATTAACACATAAACATTAATAATTAATTAATTATTAATACATTAATTTTAATTAACATTAACACATTCTTTAAGACTAGCTGCTATTCCAAAAAAGACAATTTCACCCATTGACCCATCGGCATCTTCCATTTGAACGATGTTATATTCAGCATTCGAAGTCCCAAGAAACGTTTTGGACGATTTTGGAAGGTTTGGCAGTAATCGTGTCCTTACACTGAGAAAACTGGAGTATTGGACTAAACATCTGGAGGGACAAATCGTTCATATTTGAGAGTTAGCAATTGGATAACAATCTAAATGTTCAAATTCACCATTGACAGATATTCGTGCCATTTCTCTAACAGAGAGACAAATTAACCATCTTGAGAAATCCCTTCCTTATCCGGCGCGAAATGAATAAATATGGCAACCTAACCCCTAAATTAAATACATAAAATGTCAGAAAAATAATTTCGCGCGCATCAGATCGTACACATTTTCTGCACAACTTTTAACCCTCAGATATAATGGGAGAGAATATACAAGTAGATTTCCATTATCAATTCAAAATTTATTTTAGAAGGACTATTTAACTCTCTTCATAAGCAAAGAAAACATACACTTTTTGAACCTCTGAATTTGACTCTCCAGTTTTCTCAGTGTAATATTTTTAATAATTTGTCTAAATTCTTTTGAGTAATTTGGGTTTCAATAGCCCATTTTCTAATTTCCTTCATCTCTGGATCAGTATCATCTAAAATCAATACATCAACATCTTCCATTTCAGAATCAGAACTGTTGTCTGTATCCGTATCAATAATTGATTCTTCTTCAGTTCCTATAATTGAAAAAGAGAAACATAAAAATGTTAGTCTAAAATATAATACGTACTACTTAAATACAGCACAGTAATAAACTAAATAAATTATACATTTTGTAAACCAATTTCGTTCATATTTTCATATTCGTCTTCAGAAATCATATTCTCATCATCTCCAAATTTTTTATTTAACAGATTATCTGAAATTTACGTAAAAATATCATAAATAAAATTCTCTTTCTAATAAATGTTTGACAAAATATATTTATTTTGAAAAATGTATATGAAAATTTTACCGGTTAAAATTGTGAGACCATCCTTTGTTTAATGAATGAAAAACTTGATTAAATATTAAAAGCATAGAAAATTAATTTTATATTTTATATTTTTTATAAATGTTAGGCTCAAAAGCCGAAAACGGCCAATGGCCGGAAAAAACAGCCAAACCTAGTTTTGGCAAGTGCAGTTTTGCCAAAACTAGGTTTGGACGTTTCACTTCGGCCATTGGCCGTTTTAAATTGACAAATCTAGTTTTGGCAAATCGACATTTGCCAAAACTAGTTTTGGCAATTTAAATTTGTCCAAAACTAGTTTTGTCAATTTAAATTTTGCCAAAACTAGTTTTGTCAATTTGTCATTTGCCAAAACTGGTTTTGTCAATTTGACATTTGGCAAAACTAGGTGAGGCATTTCAAATTGTGAGAAATTGAAAGAAAGAAAGAATAGAAAAAGAAAGACCGCCGTATT